AGCAACCTCCAACTCCTGGGCTCAAGCAAGTCTCTTGCCTCTGCCTCCCAAGTAGCTGGGACCACAGGTGCCTGCCACAGTGCCAGGCTATTTTTTTGGTTGCAGCCATCATTGTTGTTTGGCGGGCCCAGGTTGGATTCAAACCCACCACCTTAGGTGTATGTGGCTGGCGTCTTAGCCACTTGAGCCACAGGAGTCGAGCCAGTTATCAGAATAATTAAAGATGCAAATGTTTAGCTGTTGGAAGCTTTCCTAGTAATTGATTCATGCTTATTTTAATCTTTAGATTAGGTTCTTTCTTCTTATTACCTGATATCTGAGAGTTGCAACTGATGAGACAATTCATCTTTTAGACGATCAAGTTCTTTCCTAAGTGGCAAACTATTTTTCAACTTTTTAACAGCACTTTTCCCATTGTTATCTAACCAGGATCTAGAAAAAAAAACAGAGATATAGGTATGCTTTGCAGTACTCACCATAAAGTAAACATTTCTACTATTAAAAGACACATACATTACCTTAAAGCAGCCTCGAAGTTTAAAACTTAATTTTCAATCAAAGCTTTACTTCTATCAAGTCTATTCTTTTAGAGAAATACCTACTTCTAAAATAGATTGCTTACAGAACTGCCAGCATGTGTCAAAACATATTCTAGTTATGACAACTTCTTTTGCATATTATAAAATTAAATTTTAATTACATCAGACTTGTCACTAGATTTCTAGAGATGGAATAATTAAAAAAATTAAAGGTATTTAAGGCTCGGTGCCTGTGGCTCAAGTGGCTAAGGCACCAGCCACATACACCTAAGGTGGCGGGTTTGAATCCAGCCCAGACCTGCCAAAAACAACAATGAGGGCTGCAACAAAAAATAGCCTGGCGTTGTGGTGGGTGCCTGTGGTCCCAGCTACTTGGGAGGCTGAGGCAGGAGACTCGCTTGAGCCCAGGAGTTGGAGGTTGCTGTGAGCTGTGATGCCACGGCACTCTACCCAGGGGGATAGCTTGAGGCCCTGTCTCAAAAATAAAAAAAAAAAAGGTATTTAAAAACCTTTCACTTATGTTTTCTACTTTTAGTAAGCTACACTAGAATTTATTTTATGCCAGTAAGGGTAGAACTCACAATAATTATAGATCAGTAAGCAAACAATGTTATGGTAGAGTCAATAAGATATAAAAATTAAACTCAAAAAACATGGGACTGGTAACAACTAAGAGGCAATGCATCCTTGTGAAGGAAATTGAAAAGATTATTTTGTGGGCTCAGAGCCCATAGCTCAGTGAGTATGGCACTGGCCACATACCCCGAGGCTGGCGGGTTTGAGGCCAACCTAGGCCTGCTAAACAACAACGACAACTGCAACGAAAAAATAGCCAGGCATCGTGGCAGGTGCCTGTAGTCTCAGCTACTTGGGAGGCTGAGGCAGGAGACTCGCTTGAGCCCAGGAGTTGGAGGTTGCTGTGAGCTGTGATGCCATGGCACTCTACCAAGGGTGACATAGTGAAACTGTCTCAAGAAAAAAAAAAAAAGGTTATTTTATGGATTCGAGCTGGGTAGACTTTGATTTCTTCTTTTATTTTAATCTTGGATATTAATATGATGGGCTCTTTTTTTCTTCTGAGGTAGAGTTTCATTAATGTCACCCTCGGTAGAGTGCCTTGGCTTCACAGCTCACAGCAAACTCAAACTCTTGGGCTTAAGTGATTCTCTTGCCTCAGCCTCCCAAGTAGCTGGGACTACAGTAGGTGCCTGCCACAACGCTCAGCTATTTTTTTGTTGTAGTTATTATTGCTGTTTGGCAGGGTGGGTGGGCTTGAACCCGCCAGTCCCGGAGTATGTGGCTGGTGCCCTAGCTGCTGAGCTATAGGTGCCAAGCCAATAAGCTGAGCTCTTGATGTTTATTCTCCACTGGTCAGATCTTACTAATCTAGTCTCTTTGTCATGAAGTCTCCAAAAACACCTGCTCCTTCCAGATGGGTCTATTCACTATGCTGGGGCTCATTTATACCTCCATTTCTTTCCAACCAACCAAATACCCAGTTGAAGTCTCATCTCAACTATGTAACAGTCTTAGCAAAAAGATGTTCTCTAATCCTCTATTTCTTAGAATGTTTACCTGAATCGTCTTAAAAGAAAAATAATTAAAAATGCTTTAAGGATTAGGAGAGGTTAACATTCAGGCAAGAGCTGAAAGGCAGCTCATATGGCCTTCCAGAAAACAGCATTGCCCTCTGGAAATCACCTCTTACTTGGTGTTATGATCATCATGGCACAGGGGTGCTTGTTACTTCTCAGGGTCTCTGGCTCCTCAAGGGAAGTCTGGAGAAATGAGTGACTGGGTAGAATCCTGGGAGGCTGAAGAGCTGTAGCAGGAGTGTGTGGGGTAGCATGACAAGGTGACTCTGGGCTGAGGGGAACATCTCAGAGTCTAAGAGTAGTGTTAGTGGTGGTGGGCGGGCCTTAGGCATAGCTGCGCAAGAGAAAAAGTTCAGGGGATCTGGGGGCAAATAATCACAAGAGTCAACACAGATATGTCATATAGCTCCACATCACCAGGACACCTGACAAATCCCTGTGGAATATGTCAGTGATGGTCACAAAATACGGCACTGCTGCATAAGAGTTCATGTATCTATTTCAAAAATGCTTGCCAAAGTCTTCCAAAAAAAAAAAGAAAGAAAAAAGGTTTCTCAATAGTTACTTTAAAGGTTTTAGAAGTTGTGATCTCAAGCATTTAAGAAATTACCAAGTTTAGACTACTGGAACCACCAAATCATTATGCATTTATTCTAGAATGTCTTGCCTGATACTGTACTGCCTTGGGATCATAAGGAAGAAAAAGTCCCTGTTGTAAAGAAAGATACATTTAATATGAAATACAGAGATATGCAATTAGAATCAAATATAAGAGCTACTATGAGAAGAGAGAAAGTAATTAATTTTGCTTTGACAGTTTGGTAGAACAGGTAATACACATGTGCTCCCTGGTAGAACAGAGGGAAGGGCATGCCAACCATACTAGTCCATGAGGAGCTATAAGATGAAGCAATACGCCTAGACCATGATGCACAAGGATGTATAAGACGGAGCAACATGTCCAGATCCATGATGCCCTGAGAAAGGGAGGGCATGAGAAGAGTCTGGAAGAGGGTCAGATCACAAAGGGTCTTGCACATGGGAAAAAGAAATTGAGACCTTATCCTCCAGGTCAGTGGGTCTCAACCTGTGGGTTGTGACCCACAGGAACTGTATTAAAGGGCCATGGCATTAGGAAGGTTGAGAACCACTGCTCTAGGTAAAGGTGTTCAACATTTTTTGATTTCACTAACACTTTTTCACTATTAATTTCACTATTAATTGCATAGCAATTAATAATCATTATTATATGCCTTTTAAGACTATTGGTAAGAATTTTGTCACTTCTGCATGGTGATAAATAAGTGAAAATATCTTAATTTATATCGCTGTTATTAGATATTGCATTACAATCTTCCAACCTCTCCTTAATTATTAAGTAATACATGTTATTCAATTCACTTCCGGCATATGGGGCTAGTGCCCTACTCCTTTGAGCCACA